CTTCTGGATGAAGGCATTGACTTTTTCTTTAAAGATGTGTTTGGATGGACTGCCTTACGTTATGCTATTGAAGGCACAAGTAAAGGGTAGGTGTTTGCATTCTAATGCTAGTCAACACTAACTTGCAGTTCAAATTAATCACAAAGTCTTCATCTTCCCTCACATAATGTACCAATGTTGACTCTAGGTTGTTTTGGAATAGCAGTGACTATGCAGTATGCAAAATGCATTATCATTAGAAGTAGAAATGAAGAAGGGTTTCTTTATCTCATGACTTGGTTTGGTATTGCTAAAGACTGAACGAAGTGCCTCATTTGTGCTGGGCAATTCTATCAGTGAGCTACATCTCTGTGTAGAACTTTCCAGACCTTAAAAACTATGGATTATTGGTGAAATTATTATGGCCACTCCATGTAGTTAAAAGGGAGGTTTATTTTGTGGGGTAACTTACAAGTGAAGGGATAGTTTACAGGGTCTGGGAAAGGTGTAGCGCAGTCCGGCGGTGTTCTCTGGGAATTCTGCTCGGTCTACCTCCAGCGTCCAGGGTCCAGGCACCAAGAGAGCTGGCCATCCAGATCTCGGGTCTTCAGGGTCCTCTCTTGGCCCCACCTTGTAGGCTGACAGTTACCTAAGCCTCAATGGGGGCTGGAACTTCCAGATCAAAGCTGGAATGGCTACCCACTACAATGGATCCTAACATTTTCCATTTCATCCAACTATAAACTCTGTACTATATAGATATTCAGATGTTTGATATTCTAACTGGCTGTTTTAGTCTTCAGTTACAGTGTTGCAGAAAATAGTGTTTCTTCCTCTGGTGGGCTTTCTTCTATATATTACTTTTTGAATCTCGAAAAAGATAAAGGTTTCCGGGTTCCCTAAGTCCCAGGAGGAATGCTCTCTTTCACAAGACAGGTGGAGCAAGAAGAGGGCATCTAGTCCTTCTTTTGTTTTTATGATTCTGTTGCTGCAATGTTGCTAGTCACACTTGTCCTGGAGATCAGTAGAGACTGACTGACCTCCATGACCAGGCTGCCTTTGTTGAATCAGATCTCTAATGATTTATGACAGTTCACACTTACATTGAAAAGTTACAGTATTTTAATTGAGCTGTTAGTCCCAAAGTGACAGTGCTTTCCTTTGGCTGCTGGGCTTTTCAGCTTGTGCCACACCCATTGCTACCTATTTGACCATTCTCACTTATTCAGAACCTTCCATGGAGCCACATGTCATTTTAACCCTAGACCTTTATGGCTTATTAACTGTGAAGAGTCTGCTCATCTCTTTTCGTAGAAAATCTGACCTGGGATCATTGTAAGCTGTCAAGAATGTTCAAATCATGTTGCAGGGAATATCATAAGTCTTTACTCATTACTGCTAGAACCAGACCCCTTTGCATTCTGTGCAGCATCCTTTCCTAGGTGCTATGAGAGCCAATATCATCCTTCTCTGAGTAGCTGTCAGCCTTAGTCTGTATTTAAGAGACCTCATTCACATTATGTTCCATTGGAATCCATGGATAGGATAGGATCTTATCTTCGAAGGAATTTGGAGACAAACAGAACAATCAATCATTCTAACAAGGATCTGCAGGTTCAGAGCTTGGTTAGGTAGAGGAAGACTACAAGTAACTAAGTGACATTTTGTAAAGTTTTAGTTTTCAGCTTTTGGTCATTGAGAGTTTGGTAATGGCGCACAATCATTTTATTTAGTGGAAAGAAACCACATGATAAAAAGCTTGTATTTTCAAATTGTTACATAGCTCATTTTTTCTAAATGATAAGACATAACATTAGAGCAGCTATCAATGAAATTTAGAGGGCTTATGATGGCTAATTCTAATTATCAAGTTATGCAGCTTAAACTCACCTGGAGGAGTGCCAGTGAGTGGTCATTTAGATCAGATTGACCTGTAAGATGGTCAGTGGGGAATTGTCTTGATTGTTGATAGGTGTGGGAAGACCCAGCCTACTGTGAGTAGCATCTTTTCCAAGGCAGGAGTCTGTTGTGGAATATTAATTTAAGGTGTGTTACATTTGTTTATGCTGTGGAACATTTGTTTTAATGATGCAAAGTTGTGTGCATTCTTTTATGTTGTATTTGTTTAACTCTGTGAAGCTGTGTTTCTTTGCCTGTCTAAAACACCTGATTGGTCTAATAAAGAGCTGATTGTCCAATATCTAGGCAGGAGAAAGGATAGGTGGGGCTGGCAGGCAGAGAGAACAAATGGGAGGAGAAATCTGGGAAAGAAAAGAAAAAGGAATTAGCGAGAAGGAGAAAGATGCTAGGGACCAGCCACCCAGCCACACAGTCAGCCATAGAATAAGATCGAAAGTAAGAATAACAGAAGTCAGAAAAGGAAAAAGCCAGAGGCAAAAGGTAGACTGGATAATTTAAGTTAAGAAATGCTGGCTAGAAACAAGCCAAGCTAGGGCCAGGCATTCATAAGAAAGAAGAAGCCTCTGTGTGTAATTTATTTGGGAGCTCAGTGGCAGGCTCCCTAAAAAGCTAGGAGCAAAAGAGTAAAGAAAACAACCAACAACAGGATTCCTGAATTGTATAAGAATAGTGTATGTGAGGAACATGCATTGCATTCCTTTGTGCTCTTGATTGTGGATATCGTGCAACTACCTACTTCAAGTTCCTGCTGTCTGGACCTTGCTGTAATAATGATTACCATTGTGAGTCAAAGTAAGTCCTTCTTCCCCTAATTTTCTTTTGCCAGGCTGTTTTATCACAGCAAAAGAACTGGAATTAGAAAAGGATTTCATGTTTTCTGGATAGATGTAATAGCTGACCATAAGCTGTGAAAGGAAATAATATATTGGGTTTTATTTAAGTATGGTAATGTCTTTGATATTGTCTGCAATATTCTGGAAAATTCAACACAGTATAAAAACGTTTTTCATATCAATACTAAAATAGGAACTTTATGGGTTTTTTTTTTTCATTCGGCAGTAGTCGAAAGATTCTTATGGATCATGAAGTAAAGTTACATATTAAAAATAAAGATGACAGTCAAGGTAAGTCTTATGACAATGAGAAGTGAATATTAAAACCATGATTATCACACAACCAATATAAACCAACACTGTTATTACATGTTTTCTAAGCATATACAATTGAAACTCCTTCCCATATTTCCAATATTTAATTTAGGCAACAGCACTCACATTCTGTTGCCCTAATTTTTACTTATCTCCCATTAAAGGTTGTCTCTTTGATGTGTAGTTATAGTAACCTCACTGAATACATTTATTTTTTGTTTATGTTGAGACATTATTTCAGTTATCCTGTCATGGCTTCTAGCTTACTGTGTAGTTGAGGTTGGCTTTGAACTCCTGATCCACGCTGTCTTAACTTCTCAGTTGACGTTAGGGGCATGCAGTGCACACTCAGCAGCTTTCTTTAATAAATCAATACATTTTTGTGTAACTAGGGATTAAACACAGAACCTCATACCTTTTTAAGCAAACTCTGTAGCCATTGCTCCCTCAGCTCCTTTCTGCCTGTTGTTTTTGAGCACAAGCATAGGATATGATGGTAAACACATTGGAAAAAGCTTTATTTTTATAGCAGTTTTCCACTTAATGAAAAAGGTTGAAAGAAGTTACACTCTGAACTAGCATCACTGTTTAGCCTGTTTTCTTCAGTTCAGGTATCATGTCTAACAATCTCAGGAGGTTATTCATTTTATAAGTACATATCAAATACATTTCTCTAGAAGCTTGTTGCTACCTCTGTGTTCTTTTAAGCTTAAATGTCTCTTTATTTAGCACAGTTCAGGACTGGTAAATCCTTCAGGTCTGATATTGCAGTAGTTCTTTCTATTGCAGGAACTGTATCAGATGAGTCTGAGTTCCATTTGCACCAGATATAAGAACATGAAAATAGCTGTGATTGGAAGAATTTTTTAAGATTGTTCCTGGAAGAGGATGACTTGTATCCTGCTTGATTTACAGCTGAAAAGTCTTTGCAAATCCTTTTGGTTTTGGTCTAGCTCCATGTGTGCCATGCTGCAAAGTTCACTGTTGACATGTTGAGCTTATCTTTTTATTCACAAAGAATTATATCAAGTATTTGGTCCAAATTTCAGTTTGTGATAAGAAATACTATCTTAAGGAAGCTCAATGTCACACTGCACATATTTTCTGCTGTTTATTTGGCACTGTCAGCTTATGGCTCTGTTTAAGTCAGTCTCTAGAACTGAGTTACCATGAATATCACTGGACATTGCACTTTACTTCTAGGTGTCAAATTCTTGTAAGTTATAGTCTTCTTCCTTTGGGCCTAGAAAATAGGAAACAGGAAGTAGATTTATTTTTTTTAGAGTAGTCATTACTCAATAAGCATTATAATTAGCACCCACAATAGGCTATTCTTTAGAGATGGTCTGAAAGGAATGCTTCCTAATAATCCTTTAGAGTCACTATGTTTTTAATATTTTAGAGTTTTTTAATTGTTCTATTTAAAATACATTTCTTTTTCTTAAATAGAATACAAGAATTCTGAAGACAATTCATTAGCCAAGTAAGATTCATATAGTTATAAAAATCCTGTTTCCAAATTTTGGAATGTGCAGATAAATAAATATTTGTTCAGCATTCTACTCTGTTGTAGCCCCAATATTTTATGGTTAACATTAGTTATTCCTTATAACTACCATAATAAATGTTTGATGTTTTTCCTATTATAACACATGATTTTTCTAATTACACATCTGTCATTCAGAATAGTGCTCCCATGATTTAACTACCAGTCTGACTTGGTTTCCCATGTATTCTCTTGCTCATTAGCATAGACTGAAAGAAGCCCATGTAGCCCTGAGACCTAGATGCACATCAGATCAGTTTCAAAAGTCAATTTTATATGTTGAAGTAAAAATAGTTTACATTGTTCTCTGTTCTACTCTCTTTGGTAAAGGCATTCCCATTGACTACATAGATATTTGACATCTATCTATCATCTATCTATCTATCTATCTATCTATCTATCTATCTATCTATCTATCTATCTAATTCTTAAATTGTCTTTAAGACATTTGAGATGTTTCAGGGAACTCCTTTTACTATTTTAGTGCAAAGGGAAATTAATGATTACTTTTCCATAGTAGTTCTCATAGCAGAACAACATGACTTCCATGTTTCAGTTGAACATCTTAGGTTCTGAAGCAGGCTTTTCTAGGTTAAAGTAGTATGAGTTCTGTGAGGCAATGAACGGTTTGTGAATCCTTCATTAAGTTTAGGCAGTTTTTGAAGTTAAGTTCACCTAAGGCCCTGCCAACATATCTGTCGTCACTATTCACATGGACTAAAGAATCTGAACATATTTACTCTTATATATTGGAAGAGGCAGAAGCAAAGAGGAAACTGGAAATGGGAAGTTGTTGTTTTTAATAATATGAGATGTCAAACTCTATTCATATCAGTTATGACTATGAAATGTAACTTAATATGGAGACTTTTGACTTTTTTTAAGTTGCACTCATCATTTTTATTGTGTATTTCCTCTTGTAGGCACCACGATGATCCTACTTCTGGATCCACCTTGTCTAAGTCAAGTGAGGATGATGGTGTTTTTGATGAAAAGGTAAAATTTTGCTTTTTGAACTTAATACATTTGTACAGAAATGTGTTTCTAGGGTGGGTGTTTACTCTTGAGCTTCTGTAGTGGTCTACCTATTGTCATTCTGTTGACAACAGTAGACAGTTGGTGAGAAGAGATGTTTTCATAAGACTGTGGCTGGTGACTAATTGAATACTTCTTTAACTTGATAAACAACAAAGATCAAGTAACTATTCTAAGGTAATAGGGAAAGGGGTGAAATACACAGTTTAAGAGAATTGTATTAGGAATAGAAATTCCATAGAAGAGGAGATTTCAAATATGGTAAATAATATTTGGATCAATGGCACTTACTGTGACTTATAAATCATACTAATATGATAATATCACAGAATCATAATGAAGAAGAGATTCCTACCAGAGGACACAGAATTATTTGTGGAAGATTGATATCTGCTTTTTAAAATATCTCCAGCAAGATGGATATCTCATGTCATTTTTAGCAAAGTCATTCACCTTAGCATTCATGTTCTTTTGTGATAGCTGTAGGCTTTATTTTTGTTACTCCATGTCTCTTTGTGTGTGTAGACCTTGAACTCAGGTTCTAGTGTACATGTAGAAAGCGCTCTACCACACAGCTGCAAGGGCGACTCCAACAGTCAGAGCTGCTTTCTAGTTCACTCCAATTCCCAGTCATCTGTTAGCGGTTTGAAAGCTGTAAAAAACACTAATCAAGATTTTCGCCAAATTTATCCTTCCTGATGTGAATACTGGATACAGATTTACACACATTTGTACCGTATTTAAAAAGGATTAGCTCAAATACCATCTGGAAGGGTAATGATAGCTTGATATTTTCATAATGGATTTTTCTTCAATCATGAAGTACCATTTTATATGATATAATTAGAAAAAAGAATTATTATTATTACACTGTTTATAGGTTGATAGAAAAACCTACATTTTTTCTTGAATAATACTGGTAGTTATAAAGACTTAATTATATAGTCACATAAACTTTCTCTTCTAGAATTGAAAACTTTTATTTGAGAATGCAAACATTCTGCATTGCCAAAGTCATCCTTCAGGTCCAGGGATGAAGTGGTCTGCTTTATCTGGCACGCTCCAAACCAAGCTTAAAACTATTTTTTTAAAGATAGCGTTTCTCTTTGTAACTTTGGCTATCCTGGAACTTGCTATGTAGACCAGGCTGGCTTTGAATTCATAGCAATCCACCTGTCTCAGTCTCCTGAGTGCTGGGATCAAAGGTGTGCACAACTACCACCAGGCAAATTTAAATATTTTTAATTTTTTAAATTTTCATATATGAATATTGCATTTATATCATTTTCGCCCTGCCTTTTCTCCACTCCAGTTTCTTCTGTATATGTCCCTATCTGTTCTCAAATTCATGACCTCTTATTGTTTAATTATTATTCTTATATATGTAAATATATAAACACACACACATATATGTATATATAATCTACTGAGTACTTTTCGTTTTGTACACACATACATGTATCTAGGGCTGACCACTTGAGATTAGGTAACCTGTCAGGAGGTTTGTCCCTGGAGAAAACTGATTCTTCATTTCATCTAGGGATGGTACCTCATGAAATTTCTCCCATTCACCTTGGGGTATTTACTGATATTTTCATTATGCAAGTCATGTTTGGAAAACATATTCTTAAAATTTCATGGGTGCAGCTTTCAATTCATGTCTAGAAGACAGTATCTGCAATAGGTATACTGGCTCTCTGACTCTTCAGTCTTTCTGACTCCTATTCCCTGATGTTCCCTGAATATTAGGAGCAGGGACTGAAACTGTAACTCTATCAGGAAGTGTCAAGCACCCAACAGTAACCAGTTACTTTCATTTTTACCAGTTATGACTCTTTGATAGTCTCTACATGCTACAAAGGAAACTTATCTTGTTTACTATACTCATTGGTAGGTATTGAAACTAGAAATTATAATGATTGGGTGAAATGGCAGTAGTAGGTTCTTCTCTAGTGGATTCAATGACCTCCACTGCCAAGGACTGCTGCCCAGATTTACAGTACCAGGTATGAGTTGCCTTCTACTAGGTAGGCCTTACATCAAGCTAGACAGCTATTGGTTACCACTAAGAAGAAAGCGCTGTTATTGCACCACTGGGGATATCTTGTTCAACAAGTCATTGATGTGGCGCACAGGCTCTGCAACTAGGTAGAGCTGTTGGTGTTTTTCTCTCCTGGTAGCCTGCATAGTGCTTTTGGGATGCTGTGAAAGTCAGCCCTCATGAAAAAGCATTCCAGGCCAGTTCCTTCTGGATTTCTTTGAGTCCTGTGTCTGAGGTGGGTGGTGTCTCCAGTAATAGAGTCTTATCTCCAACCTGAAGAGCCTATATTTCTTTGGGAGTCTCTTAGAATCCACTGAGCAACAACTCAAAGGGGTGTTTCCCTTGCCTGGAGCTGAAGGTTTTGTCAGACAGTCTATGGCTCCCTGGAAAGCAGCATCTTCCAAAGTGGTATAACTTCATTTAAATTATTTATATATGCACACATACATATATCATATATATTTTTTGTAAACATACAATAGTATGCTCTGTATGGATTTTCAAACATCCTTAGTGTTTTTTTTTTCTTTTTTGTTTTTTCGAGACGGAGTTTCTCTGCGTAGCTTTGCGCCTTTCCTGGATCTCACTTGGTAGCCCAGGCTGGCCTCGAACTCACAGGGATCCGCCTGTCTCTGCCTCCCGAGTGCTGGGATTAAAGACGTGCGCCACCACTGCCTGGCCATCCTTAGTGTTTTTTAGCTTTCCTTCCTCTCTATGTATTATTGTTCTCGTTCTCCTGTAGTTCAAATCTGCTTATCCCATTTTCCCCCTTTCAGACATCTGCATCCTACTCTCCCCTTCTCTCGAGCTCCCCCCCATCCCCAGGCTTCCTTTATATTTTCCTATCTTCTCTTTTCCCCGTTTTAGTCCATACATCTTTATTTTCAAGTGTTCATTGCAATGAATCCTTGGTCTAGTTTGAGGCCTCTGGTTTCTGCTACACTATCAATACTGGACCCTCACTGGGACTCCTCTTGGATATCCTTTTGTTGCCCTGTGTCATGGAGATCCTGCAGCTTTGGATCTGCAGGACTGGTCCCTTCACGTGCTTCAGCAGATCGCAGATGGGGTGGATGTCGGGATGGGCCAATTCATAGCCCTGGATCTGAACCTGGGTGACAGCTGAGTAGGTCAGCCTGGCAGCTCTCCCACATCCTCACCAGCAGGATCAGCTCTCCAGCACTGCCCAGGCTAGCTCACACAATGCCTAGGGCAGCAAAGGGTGGAGCCAGCTCTTCTGCTCACATCATTGAATGGCAGATAAGGAGCAGGGCCAGCTCTCCAGTTTTCATGCCCTCAGGGCCAGCTCACCCACCCCCCTTCCACTAGGGCCAGCCCTACTGTGCTACCCAAGTGAGATGCAGGGCCCACTCTTCTGAGTGCTGCATCGAGTGAGGGCTGAGGCCAACACTGTGCAGCCCTTCATAAAAGTGTGGTCCCAGGCAACAGTCCAGACCAAGGACAACCACATGGCCTTTGGTGGTAACATGGGCCATGGACATCAGCACAGACCCCTGCTTCTGAATGGCTACAGACCCAGAAATGCCCCTCAGCACCAGTGCAGGCTAGGATTTTATCATAGCTTCAGATGACTTCGGAGGAAACTCACATCAGGTTGTTCTTCTCCATCATTGAGTCTCCAGATCCACCTCTCTTCATAGTGTTCAAGCTGCTCTGCTTCTCTCTCTCCCATCTCTCCACTCCAAACTTGCACAATCATAGTGGCTCATGCTGTAGCTGGACCATGTGTTGGGTGGGGTCTCTGGGTGTCTTATTCCTGCCCACTCTGCAGGGCTGTGGGTGTCTTCAAGTGTTTCTCCAACCCAAAGCTTCCAAAGGAAATAAATCTCTGGCCAAAGTTAGACACAGCACAGTAAAACGGTAATTCAACACAGAGTCAGCCAGTCTCATGGTTGACCTGACACCACAACCAACTAGAGAGATTGGCAGATAGGCTACTAATAAATAGTAAACAGAGCAGGACATGTCCAGGCAGTTGTGGGTCTCTGTTCTGTAGGCATACTTTTTCCTGGGCTAGGATGCGGCCCTGGGAGTCACAGTGACTCAGACGGTGGTCAGTTTTCTCAAAGGAAGAAGGCACAGGGCCAGTGGTGCTTGTGTTTGTTACTGGCTCTGTTGATGAACAGTGTAATTCAGCTTTTTCCGGGAGCAAGACCAGCCACCACGTCACTTCTTAGCGCCTGTTCTGCCTCACTTATAGCAGGCAAAACCATTTCCCCACCACCTATGTTCACTCCTTCCTCTCCTCTCCTCTCCTCTCCTGTCGTCTAGGTTTAGAAGCTGTCTGCTGGTAAAATCTAGAATTTTTTTTTTTTTAAATTGAGGTACTTTATTTTATCAAAAATGTGAATTTGGGAAATATTCCAGACAGAGAGAAAGCACATTTCTTGTGAAAGCATTGTTATGTTTTGATTGCCAAGGAGAGGAGATGGAAAAATTCTCTGGCTAAAAATAATTTTTTACTGGGATGTTTAAGAAGAAATAATTTTAAAAAATACTCATTTTCTATGTGGAATGTAAGAGTTTGGCAATGTAAGGTTAACTTCTTTTATAAAATGTGTATAAGTAATCAGATGACAAGTGATCTATGAACATGTCTCTTGTAAACTTCCATTTTTGTTTTACACAGTGGTGAGAGATAAGCTTAATGTAGACAGCATGTATAAGGTTGGGTATTGAAATAATTGTTTTTAGACACATTCTTTTTTGTTTTATGTATAGTTTTTTTTAACAAGGGAAATTCACATATCCTAAAATGAATAAGAAAACATTAATTGCTTTATTTTTGGTATTAATTTTAGCCAAGTTCTTCTAAGCATGCTCCTGCTAAATGTCCTAGTAACTTAGGTGGGGCTGGAGATCAAAGAGACAAAAAGGAAGCAAAAGGAACAGTAGAAGGTAAGAACTACATTCTGTAAAGTGTTATTTGACAGAGTATCTGTGTCTAACATGAGTACTGATGGATCTAGCAGTCAACGGACTTCCCTGTCAATGGACACCAGTGAAAAGTGGAAATGAAAGGACACCGATGGCACCTGTTACCAGTGTTAGCAACAGGGACACTGAGGCTGCTACTAACGGAGTTTGCTTATGGTTATCAGTTCATGACATTCTTATATGCAGTGTCTCTGGGGAAGTAAGGAAGAAATGAGTACGGGGAATGAGCAATAATAAATATGAAAATAATAATAAAGGAATAAATAAAGAAAAAAGGAGTCGGGCGGGGTGGGGTGGTGGCACATGCCTTTAATCCCAGCACTGGGGAGACAGAGGCAGGCAGATCTCTATGAGTTCGAGGCCAGCCTGCTCTACAAAATGAGTTCCAGGACAGGCACCAAAGCTACACAGAGAAACCCTGTCTCGAAAAAAAAAAAAAAAAAAAAAAAAAAAAAAAAAAAAAAAAAGAAAGAAAGAAAGAAAGAAAGAAAGAAAGAAAAAAGGACAAAGGTTTTACTGTACTGAGTATGAAAGCAAGGATGCGTGGGTTGTGAATATGAAAAAGTTGTCTTCATGTAACAAAACTGGCTTGAGAAGCAAGGAAAACTTGTTCCAATTTTCATCACCATCTCACGGTTACAAAAGGTCATTAATGTCCGACAAACTGCATCATGCAGAGGTAGTTTTACTTTACTATAGACAAATATTATTTCATGAATCATTTGGTAAATATTACTCTGATTGTTTATTTATTCTTGGTTACTGGCCGAAGAGGTAAAAAGTCAGGATTCAGTCAGGGGAAAGATGACAAAGTAATTTGAAGAAATGTATAATTGAAACAGGACAGAGTAAGTAACACTAAACAGACTGATCAGGTTTTATTTATGTATTAAAGCATATGTATACACACATATGTGTTTTTGGGTGACAATAACAATTAAAATAGGCCATGGAGTCCAGAAAGAGGAAGGTTGGAGTACATGGGGTCAGATCGAGAGAAGAAAGGGCAGGGGAAAAGGAGGTAATATTTTAAATATAAATTAGAACAAAAAAATAACAAAAACAGGACAGAGGGCTGGGGAGTTGAATCTTTGGTAGGGAAAGAGAGTTTGCTATGAAGGAATGAAGATTTGAGTTATATCTAGACTCACATAAAAAGGTGGGCATGGGGTTGGGGATTTAGCTCAGTGGTAGAACGTTAGCTTAGCAAGCTCAAGCCCCTGGGTTGGGTCCTCAGCTTTGGGAGAGTGGGGGTGGGGGGAATTTGGGCATGGCTGGTGTACTCCTGTAACCCAGCACTTTGGGGACAGTGTCAGGAGGATCACTGAGATATTCTGACTTCTTGCCTTGCTTCAAACTCAGTGATTTATCTTGTCTCATGGGATAAGGTGGATGGTGTTAGTCAAGGTCACCTAGTGTCCTCTTCTGCCTCTGTTTGAGCATACACAGGTATGCACCTGCATAGACACGTACATATACCATGTGCATACAACACATTTCACTAATACGCATAACAAAGACTGAAGTAAATTAAACAACAAAATAGAAATTATTTTCCTGCCACTAAAAATTACTCATGTGATTTTTATTAAATAATAAAATATATTAAATGGCTATATTTTTTTTTTACTTAGGAAGTTTGAAGAAAACAATTTTAATGGTGGGTAGCATTGACATATTAGTGGCATGTGAGGTCTTTCAGAGTTGAGGAGTGTTAGGAACTAAGGATAGTGATGAAGAGGAGGATGAAGATTAGGACCTACAGAGAGGACAGAAAATAAATGAAGGAAATTGAGCAGCTGGCTCCAGTCCACAGGCAGCAGCTGGTAGCTGCACATCTGTATACCATTGAGCACCAGCCAGCCTGAGAGAATGCAGGACTAGTAAGCCACATGTGGCTCCCAGTGAGAACTTTTCTTAGTTTTCTCAGGCCTTATGTGGATCTACATGGCTGCATGTTGGGCACCATATGTGGATGGATGTGTTTTTCTTTGGGCCACTAGATCACAAAAAACAACACAAAGACTTATTATTAATTATGAAAGCTCAGCCTATAGCTTAGGCTTGTCCCACTAGCTCTTACAACTTAAATTAAACCATTTCTATCCGTCCATATGTTGCCATGTGATTTGTAGCTTTTACCTCTCCTCCTGCATGTCTTGCTTCCCCTGTGACCAGCTGGATTCAGCCTTTCCTCTTCACAGAGTTCTTTCTGCCCAGAAGTCCAGCTTTACCTCCTGCCTAGGTATTGGCCATTTAGCTTTTTATTAAACCAATCACAGTGACATATTTTTATACAGTGTAATCAAATATCTCACAAAACCTTACATTAATTGTAATTTTCGACAATACATTTTAGATGACATAGTGGTTTAGTAGACATTCTTTGAGGACTCAAAGATTTGTATATACAAATAATGTACTCCTGGAGAAAAAAAGAATACATTCTTTTTTTTTTTTTTTTCTTTTTAGCTGGGGACCAAACCCAGACACCTGCTTGCTAGGCAAACATTATAACAGGCACAGTGTTCCTAATGTATTCATCTGAAAATTCAGTTCACTTTTTTGATAATTGTATTTCACTACTGAAAATACATGAAGTGAGCAGCTATTACCAACGTGCATTTAAGAGGTAGAACTAAGTGTTGTCATGCATCCTGTCTTTTCTAAATCTGGTGTGGCTTGAAGTTGGCTCATAGATTGGTATAGTTTATATATAATGTGGAGATAATCAGTCATGTGTATAATAAATCACACAAAGCATCACTAAATCCAAAGATAATCTAGTGTATGATATAAAGAATTCAGTGTATGGTTTTGTGTGTGTATGTGTGTGTAGGTGTGTGTTTAAAATAGAGTAGTGAAGAATGACACCTACAGATTAGAAGCCTATTGTCATGATTAAGGAGTCTCAGCTCTTTGAAATTGGGAGAAATGATAGGCTGTACAAACAACATGCTAGATCTCATAAAAATGTTATAATACATGGTCTAGAAGGAGAGTCTGTGTTGACCGGAACTGTTCACATTTTCATAAATATCCAGTTTGGGATTATGTTAGAAATGAAAATTTGGATTTGGTTGCTCTGAGATGAGCACTTGTAAGAATTTCCCAGGTGGTGCAGATCCTGTGTAGCACTTGTGTGGACATTTTAAATAAATCTATAGACAAATCCATTGGGTAATAGTTCAAAACATAACAAAGCAAAGAATCCTCCATTTTTCTACAACTGAGAATGGTTACAGCCACGCCAAAAGAACTCTCAGAGAGGCAAAAAACCATTAATTCCATGTGGTTATATGATTGCTCATTCTCTATCAGTCCATATGCTTCTAGATTTATAATTCCAATTTTTAACACCTCTGGGTCTAGAGGAAAGGAATTTGTCTCTGAATGACTCCCCAGCCTTACTTTCCTCAAATATATTAGAATATCACCGTGTTATCAGTGACTGCTTGCTCAAAGAGTCTCTAGAGAATGTAACTTCCTCTCCAGGTACATAAAGACTATTTTATTCCCTTTTATTTTTCCTTGCACTCAATGTTTTTCACCATGTTATACATGTAGGTATTTATTTCCTTTTCTGTAAGATCCCAATTTCCATGAAGGAAGTGACTTTATTTTATTGTTTTTATTTTGTCTGTGAATCTTTAAATTTACAGTTAATAATTCAGCAATGGCTGACCCTGCACCTGTCCCCCTCTAATCATGATGTATGAAGATTGAGAAGACTTCAGTGAACACAAATTTGTCACCATCAGAAACAGACCCCCCCGTGTTTCTGTTTTTGTTGTGTGAGTCAGGAGCTTCCTACGTGGCTGTTTTGGAACTTCCCGTTGCTAGAACTCTTAAGTGTTCATCAGCACCACTGGTTGGGAAGGGGTTTTGGTCCCTTCACGTTTGGGCTGAGCTTGAGACTTGACAGGTATAAACAGTTCTGATCAGACACCATTTACTGTGTCATAAATACTGCTAGGGGGGCAGTGAAGTTCCAGGACAGTAAAGAGAAACTTGCTAGTAAGAAAAAAAACAAACCACCAAAATAAGCAAAAACAAAAACAAAAACCCTCCTTATTAAACACTGCTTGGAACTGCAAAAATCACTTGTTTTGCCCATTTCATTGTTTTGAGACAAGATTTCACGCTGCACTCCAAGCTGACCTCAAATCACCATGTACTGCCCAGGTTAACCTTGAACTCATTAACAATAATACTCCTGCCTCAGCCTCCACGAAAGGCTCCACCTCATTTTTGCTCCTAAAATTTTGACATCTCAGACCAAAAGGGTAAAAAACAATATTTAGCAATTTTACTTCATGAACTTTCGAGTATTAACCAAAAATTCTGTCACCAAATCTTAGAACAAAGGAGGTGCCACAGCATGCGCGGGGTGTCCGAGGAAGTGCGAGGGGCAGGGCGAGACATGGTGGCCCGGCCCGCCGGTCTCAGAATTGGCAGGAGGCTGGGAGGGCCCCGGCCCCGTCGGGCGGTGGCTCGCCCTGGGGCGGGAGCGTCCGGGGAGGAGGAGAGAGCGAGAGAGGGGCGGAGCGGCCCGCGCGTCCCCACGCCCACCCTGGCCAGGATTGGCCGAGGCTCAGGGGCCCCGCCCCCTCGGGCGAGGCCGGGGCTGCGGCCCAGAGGCGCGTGGGGCGGGCGGGGCAGTCCGGGCTCGTTGCTGTGCCTGGGGCTGGGGCTGTGCGCTGGACGCCGGCCAGGGATGCTTCCGCCCGACCGCTGTGCGGGTCTTGGGCTGTGGCGGAGGGATGGCGAATGTGCGGGTGGCCGTAAGGGTCCGGCCTCTCAGCAAGCGGTGAGTCTGGCAGGAGGGGGCGCCTGAGGCGTCAAGTGAACTGAGCGGAGCGCGAGGTCCCCGCTTTCCTCTAGGCGGACTGGTGCGGAGAAAAATCCAGACTCAAAGTGCCCGGAGGGCTCAGCGTCCAGAAGCCATGAAGGCCTGGAGGGACAGGGCTTCAAGCAGCGTCCTAGGAGACAGCGGCTCCTGTGTGGCTTCAGGGGTCGCTTGCCCTGGGTGCACGTCCCTGGCATCTTGTCAACAAGTTTCTAGGGCGCCTGACTCGGGTCTTGGTGCACTCAGTAGGGCCTTTCTCATGCATATCGACGTGAGGAGGTGCATAGGGATGGGCAGTCTCCTCTCCTCTCCTCTGGGTGTCCCGGGAGTACTCAAGTGAGGACTGGAGGCTGTGTGTGCGTACATACACATGGGAGTCCTCTGTGGGGACAAAGGAAGAACTGTCAGGATGTGGGAGGGAAACCGAGGCCCAGGGAGACTGGTTTCAGTCTGTGCTCAACAGCTGACGTGTTTTAAGAACAGAACTGTGACCTAGGGAAAGGGGAAGTTAACACCTCGGTGCTAGTTCCTTGTGAGTGAGCCTGATTCTGCACCTCTCAAACCTCGAGGCATCCAGTGTGGAGCTGAGGATTTCATCCTCTTCACTCACTTGGGAAGCCAGAGAAGGCTTTGCACAAGAGTTGAGTGTCTGAACTGTTCTGAATGATCTTTGAATTTTCTGACGGATAGGGGAAAGTACAGCGCTCTCTAAAGAGCAGGAAGAGAAAGTGACTTTAGGCTGTTAGGGTGTAGGTGGGAGCCTTGGATATGTGCTTGGATAGAAGCAGGTGAGAGGTGATAAAAATGGCAGAGTGTGGTTCTAGACCAGACGACATGTATTGGAATTCATTGTAGAATTTTTTTTTAAAATGTCCAGTACACAAGATGATAAGTGGGGACAGAGATCAAGAAAGGCCTTGTCTCCTGTGACAGGAATAGTACCACGGGGGCTTAGGTTTGTCCTTGCAGAGGCCACTTGCTTTGAAAAGTCTTTACAGAATGAGAAGCGTGAGGTAGGAGGAGCACATAAGCATGTACCCATGCTGGTGGTGGCGGCGGTGGCGGCGGCGGCGGAGGCGGCAGCAGCAGCAGCATCGGAGGAGGCAGAGGCGGCTGCACACCTTAATCCCAGCACTGGGGGGTGGGGGGCGATCTCTGTGAGTTTGGGGCCAGCCTGGTCTACAGAGGGAGTTCCAGGACAGCCAGGGTGGTTTTTAAACATCTGACTTGGCATAACTGCCTGTGGTGACTCTGGGTTGGAGGTTCCCTGGGAGCAGCTGCTATCCAGGAGGAGGTAGCTGCTGGTAGATCTGTTTCCAAAGTATTTTTTAGAGTTTTTGGGATAGCAACATTGACCACTCTTGACTTTTTAGTTCCTTGGGAACCAGGAAATTCAAACAGCATGGATTTCATTAAGAAAACGATGTTGAAACGCCTTTGTTACTTGCAGTCGTTGCAGAGAATAACATACCTCATCCAACAAAAATGAAGACAACCAGGAAGCGTATTTACTTTTAGCTCCAGTGAAGAGGCTTGAGAGAAAGGGGTAGATTGTCAAGATCTCCAGGTGTGAGCTGATTTTTAGCAGGCTGCAGATTCTCAATCACTGATTCAGGGGTAGTTATGTAAAAACTCAGTGTGATCTCAGCTAAGAAGTTCAGACCAGACCATTCTTCAATTCCCACAGAAATCTGCAGAGATGATGGTGGTACCCACTGTTCATTGACATGTTTTGCATGTGGAGAATCTGCTGATTATGTAGTCTGTTCCAACGTTCAGATAAGTCATAAGCACTGATACTGTGCTTGTGAAGGAACCATTGAAGTCATTTAGCCCAAGCTTACAATAGTATTTTCCAAATGAGAACATGGTCTTGCTAATTTCTAAAAGCAGGATTTGATTCACTGCACCACACTGCTCCTTCCCAAGATGCCCAAAATGGTTCCTTTGTTCCATAGGACCAGAGAAAACCCTGAATGAAATAACAGCTCCGAAGTGATTTTGGAGTCCTACCTTTGACCCCAGTTGTTTCCCATAATCAGATATTCTGTTTTTCATTAGGAGATGCTGACCTTGTCTGTCCAAAGTCATTCACCACTGAGGAACACACCTGCTAATTCTGTACTCTGCCCCACTGCCCTGTACTTTAACATGATACATTAATTTATTCCAGTTTTTTTATTTATAAAATAGGGATAACCATGTTGATCTTTTTTTCCAAGACAGGGTGTGGTTGATATATTGTGCACCCCAATAAACTTTTCTGGTGGGGGGAATCAGAAAACAGAACAGCCACTATATTAAACATAGGTTTAGGCAGCAGTAGCACACGCCTTTAATCGTAGCATTCTGGAGGCAGAGATCCGTCTGGATCTCTATGAGTTCAAAACCACACTGGAAACAGCCAGGTGTGGTGACACACACCTTTAATCCCAGGAAGTAATGGCAGGAAGCAGAAAGGTATATAAGGCTTAAGGACCAGGAACTAGAGCCTTTTTAAAGATTTTAGCAGCAGTTCAGCTGAGATCCATTTGGATGAAGACTCAGAGGCTTTCAGTCTGAGGAAACAATATCAGCTGAGAAATTGCAAGGTGAGGTTGGATGTAGCTTGTTCTGTCTCTCTGATCATTCAGCATTCACTCCAATACCTGGCTCCAGGTTTGTTTTTATCAATAAAACCTCTTAAGATTCAGCCTACAACAGGGTTTCTCTGTGTAGTCCTGGCTGTCTTGGAACTCCCTCTGTAGACCAGGCTGGCCACAAACTCACAGAGATCCGCCTACCTCTACCTCTCGAATGCTGGGATTAAAGGAGTGCGCCACCATTGCCCAGCTGAAACCAGCTTCTTAATTAAGATTGCTATCCTCTCTGCCCTCTTAAAATTTAATGCCAACATTTCTGTAGGTGAGCAGAGGAAGGTGGGACAATTTTACCTTCTTGTGGACTGATGATCCTGGGAGATTAGGAACATCTCTGGACTTGGAGTGTGGCTGAGTAGTAAAGCACTTGCCTGGATGTATGAGGCACTGGGTTTGATCCCTTTCACCATGGTAGATTAACTCTCTCTCATGTACTGTCTTCTGTACAGTGGACAAGAAAGTACAGTAAGGCCTTAAGGGGGAAGAAACAACCTACACTTAAATTTAACCAACAAAAATGCCATTTAGCTCCGTTGTTTGTTTTGGTTTTTCAAGACAGGGTTTCTCTGTGTAATAGCCCTGGCTGTCCTGCAACTAGCTCTGTAGACTAGGCTGGCCTTCAACTTAAAGAGATCTGCTTGTTTCTGTGTCGTCGTCCCCCCACCCCCCCAGTGCTGTGATTAAAGGTATGTGCCACCACTACCCAGCTAGAGAGAGTTTTTTTATGTAGGGCTTTATTCCAGATACAGCAAGTGCCTTCAGTTGATGAACCGTCTCGCCCTAGCTGAAGGTTTTTGTTATGAAGAAGGTGGGCTTCAGGTGTGTGGATCACCAGATAAGCCTATTAAAATGAATGCCGTTAAGTCCCCAGCACTACAAGAAAGAAGTTTAAAGTGAATGTAAAGGTTGGCTAGTTGCTGGCCGTGTTACCATGTAAGGACAACATAGGAAGATTTTTAAGTGCCTTGGCTTTCACCCTGACTTCAGATGTAAAGTATGCCCAACATTTCAGCAGAGAGGACTTTATTAGAACTTTGTTCAGTGGTCTAGAGACAATGAGAAGTTGTGTCATGTGCTGGACCAAAGATACTTTCCAAGCCTGATTTTTAAGGTTTAGTTAAGGATCAGACAGATCTGGACTTAAATCCCAGTTCTACTGGTCCTGGCTGGGTGGCCTTGGACAAATTATGCAATTTCTCTAGGTTTTGCTTTAAAGTTCTGTCAAAATGAAGATATGCTATGAAGCCGTATCAGAAGAATAGGGTAGATGGACAAATTACAGTATCTGTACCTAATGTGGTACTTTGTATATAGAAGGTTACCAAAATAAGGTGACAGTTAGTGATTTCAGAGTCACAGTGTATGGTCAGGAAACTATGCCCTCAACGGAGTCTTTTTATACTTTTAGCTATTTATGGAGACGGGCATTCCACTTACTGGATTACTGGAACAGGGACAGTAATAAAACTAATTTCTTTCTCTTTCTTTCTGTTTTTGTTCTTGGTGTGTGTGTGTGTGTGTGTGTGTGTGTGTGTGTGTGTGTGTGTGTGTTTTAAGTGGGTGCCAGATGTAGTGGCACATGCCTGTAATTCTAGCATTTGGGAAGAAGAGGCAGAAGGATCAGAAGCTCAAAGTCATTCTTGGCTAGAGAGTGAATTTGAGGCAGCCTGGGCTACCTGAGATTCTGTCTCAGAAAACAAAAAGTGTTTCTTCTCATTTGAATTCTGCTTTTATTTCTTAGGGAGACCAAAGAAGGGGGGAAAATTATTGTGGAAGTTGATGACAAAGTGGCAAAAGTCAGGAATGTAAAGGTAAGCCTGAAATTGTGTTGGTTTTGTAGATAGGAATCTTTATAATTAAAGGGGTCTCTGGGGGTGAATATGTTTGATATATTAGAAAGCAGGAGATGTAAGAGGATTGTGGGAAAAGCTTAGACCAATCACAAAGTAAATAAAACAAAAGAATTATGCTTAGAGTCCAGAAAATGTGGCGTTGTAGTCCATGCTGTTAAATAGAATAGTGCAGCTGTTTTGGAAACTGATAGTAGCTGCTTTGAAACTAAACCCAGGGTATGTAATAGGGGCTGCGATTAGTTTAACTGCTGCCAGGGAAAAGTTATATGTCTATGTAACTCAGCTGGCCACCAGTTAAACTTCATCCTGAGTCCTTCAACTGATAGTGCTTTATCTGGGGCATTATTAGGTTTGTTTTGGCCGTAATGTGGTCCAGATGTCAGACATCAGCCTTCAGACCCAGAAGGGAGTTGGTCATTGGCCTGAGTCTTATTGCAGATTTTTTTTTTTCCACAACTCTACTTAACTTTGGAGCACAATTGAACAGACGCAGGGAACTTCCTTCCCTCCTCCCTACCCTGCCCTCCAGAGTCAACTTCCTCCATCCTTCCTGATGCGGAAGAGGAAGATGAAGGGGTTCTTCTTTTGTGGACCTGGAGCAGTGGAAAGAAGCCAGGGAGGTGATCACATGACAGATGCTGTCGTTAGCTTGTGATGTAAAGCCAGCAGTCCCCAGAACTGAGGAAGCTGAGGCAGAGTGAAGGTTATCTAGTCCCAGGCTCAGAGCTATGCCCTCTCCCTTGTTCCTTCTGTGATGAGACTTGTTTCCTCTTGTCGTTAGCTCTTGTTAAAAGTCTTGTGAAAGTTTAAACAGGAGCCCCTGGAGAGTCAGGCCCTTTCACTCCCTGCCTTCTCTTACAGACTAATTACATTGCTAAACACTTCAGCTCTTTTGTTGTAAGATCTTGTAGTTTGGGGTCTAGAAAATGAAGTTTGCCCAAGAGAAAAATTTAAAAGCAAACTTTAAAAAAATGTATTATTTTATGTGTGTGGGTGTTGTGCCTACATCTGTTTCTGTGCACCACATAAGTACCTAGTGCTCTAGGAGGTCAGAAGAGGGCATCAGGTCCCCCAGGCCTGGAGGCACAGATGGTTATGAGCTACCATATGGGTGCAGCGAATCAAACCAGGGGCCTCTGGACGGGCAGCCAGCACTCCTAACCTCTGAGCCACCTCTCAAGCACCCAAGAACAAACTTTAGTCTGCACCTCCCCAGCTGTTGACTTCCCTAAGGTTAGTTATCCACAAACGAGCTCTTTCTCATTATGACATCCATGTTCTTTTGTAAATTTTGAATAACCAATGTCAGAGTTGCCTTTCCTTTTTGAAACTTGTCTAAAATGTGTTTTTTGGGTATATTTTCCCCTGACCTTGATTTGGTCACTCTTAGTGCTGCGTGCATCCTCCTCAAGGAACATCCCTCTGTAAGCCATGCTTTCCTTCCTGGAGGCTGGCAGAGGACATTGGAGCAGCCAGCACACAAAGCTGTGCATGCCTACAGACTGTGATGACTTTGTAGCATCCTGGCCATTTTACACCCATGAAGTAGGAATTCAGAGTGTGCACCAAGTGTCCATTCTTGAGTTTCTTCTCTCTGGAGAGGATGAAGGAGATCTTTGCAAGAGGCATTTTCTCATAGTGAGATTATTGTCACCTGAATACCACAGTTTAAATTTAAATATTAAGACTAAGCATTTCTGTGAAGAATGCCAGCCATTCTCCCCAGTACCCAGAGCTCAGCACAGTTCCAAGTTTTGGCCCTACCCTCCTCTGCCTTCAGCCACTGGATTATTCCTGGTTCCATTTAATACTATTTCCGGAGCTGGAGAGATGGCTCAGAGGTTAAGAGCACTGGCTGTTCTTCCTGAGGTCATGAGTTCAATTCCCAGCAACCACATGGTGGCTCACAACCATCTATAATGAGATCTGGTGCCCTCTTCTGGTGTGCAGACAGAACACTGTATACATAATAAATAAATAAATATATCTTTAAAAAAAATACTATTTCCAAGTCATTGAGAGCAGATTCCTAAAGGACCTCAAGGAAAGCTCCAAATTGAAATCTGCTGGACCCGGGGACTGTGGTACTCATGCTGTCGGCATCCTCTGCAGGAATACTTAAGGAGGGAATGAGCACTAGAGCTGTCCGTTAAAAGAGGCTTTCTCCCCTGGGCTGTCCTATACCTCACGTGTTTGTACGCAGTCACATGCTAGAGAAATAGGCATATTTAGTTCCTGCGTCTATTTGTTCTAGTGAGATGGAGACAGATGTTACCTCTCTCCTTTTGTGGCTGTCGTGAACATTATAGTGTTAGTCCAGGTCTGTAATTATCGGAGAGCATAATGAAGAGCCACTGTCCAGAGTCCAATGATACGACAGGGAAGACACTGGATGCTGTGCTTAATTTTAGGTGAGCAGTCGACCAGAGAGCTTTGGAGACACCCGGGAGAAGGTTGTAGCATTTGGTTTTGATTACTGCTATTGGTCAGTGAACCCGGAGGACCCTCACTACGCATCTCAGGAAGTGGTAATGTTATCTTCCCTCCATTCTTTTTACAAATGTTTGCTGTAAATTTACTTTTCAAGGTCATTATGGCAGTTGCAGACTGGAAGTACTCTAATTGGTACTTTATTTTTATTTTTATTATTTTAAAAGATTTATTTATTTATTATGTATACAGTGTTCTGCCTGCGTGTATGTCTGCAGGCCAGAAGAGGGCACCAGATCTCATTACAGATGGTTGTGAGCCACCATGTGGGTGCTGGGAATTGAACTCAGGAACTCTGGAAGTGCTCTTAACTTCTGAGCCATCTCTCCAGCCCTAATCGGTACTTTAAACTTTGAGAAAAATCTCAATGAAAGCTGGTTTTCAAGAGGAAAACACATACATTGTGGAACATTAAAAGTTATTTCCATGATAGCATTGTCTCCTCTGTTATTATAACTGGAAACTTAGGTAAATTAGCATGGAATCTGGGTGATGACTATTTTTTTATGATATGTTGGTTAGAAACTAATAATGTCTTAATCTGAGAAATGGTAGTGAGTGGCATTAGTTTTAAAAAAATGTTGCAAAGAGGTGGAAAAAGACTGCTTGGTGAAGGTGTCGGAGCTTGGCTAGTGTCTGTCTGCAGTTTGGGCCTCAGTGTGATTCAGATTGGGGGTTAGTGCAGATAGTCTTCTGATATTGTAATAGGTCAGTGTCCTAGGGTTTTTTATTGCTGTGAAGAGACACCATGACCACGGCAACTCTTATAAATAAAAACATTTAATTGAGGTAGCTAGCTTACAGTTTCAGAGGTTCAGTCCATTATCATCAGGATGGGGAGCATGGTGGTTTGCAGGCAGATAGATGTGGTTCTGGAGCAGAGAGTCCTCTACATCTTGACTCCAAGGCAACAGGAAGTTGACTGACTGTCACATTGAGTGAAGTTTGAGAAAAAGACCTCAAAGCCCACCCCTACGGTGACACACTTCCTCCAACAAGGCCACATCTCCTAATAGTGCCACTCCCCTTGGGGGCCATTTCCTTTCAAACAGTCAGTAAGGCTTGCCTCAAACATGACCTTGAATTGTGTACAGCAGAAAGATTAAGGACTCCTAAAGGCTAATATCTTCTTAGGATCTTACATGTGTGTTTGTACTCCTACACAGAATGTGAAAGGAATAGATAGCTAGTCTGCCAGACTGCAAGAGTGTGTAGAAGGTGAAGTCCAAAGATCTGCTGGCTGAGGGTTAAGAGGACCAAGGCTTTGCTGACTGAAGGTGCTGCTGGTCATCTTCTCCATGCCTTGTAGTTTTGTTTAGCTCTTGATCAAGTTGCCAAGGCATCTAGAGGTCTGGGCGGTGCATCTTTAGGGCATCTTTGTTTCTGGGAAGCAGTAGCATTGTGTTGTATTGTATCAGTTGAGCACTGTAAAAGGTTATGCTTTCCATCCCCATAATGACAGTAAGCCTTGCTAGACCACAAAAAAATCATCCTCGTCCTGGTGGTTGTTAGGGTACTTTGTGACAGTCTAACCCTAAAATTGAGAAAAGAAAAAAAAAGTGTGTATACACACACACACACACACACACACACACACACACACGCATGTGTGTGTATACATATAATACATATACATACATATATGTATATATATGTGCCAGGTAGGCATGGTGACACATACCTGTGTGAATTTGTATAGAGAATATGTGAATACAAATTACCTTTTTCAGAGTTATGGAATGATACATAAGACCTTTTTTTTATTATTAATTATTTATATATGTGTGTGAGAGTGTGGGTTTGTGCACATGCATGCAGTACCCCTAGAGGCCAGAAGAGGGTGTCAGAGCCTCTGGAGCTGGAGTTACAGGCAGTTGTGAGCCACTGGGCACAGATGCTGGGAACCCAACTCAAGTCCTCTGCAAGGGCAGTATGCATTCTTAACCTTCTTCCCAAACCCACGGCTCTTTATTTTTAATTTTAACATGCAATGTATATAAGTCATCTGCCTGCTGGTATTTGTGTAGAGACCCATAGAGGTTTCCTAGTGAGAATTTACTCAGGGTCGAGAATCTGAACTTGCTTTACCCAGCAGGGCTGCATAAGGGTATGATTTGACCACGGGCGTGGTTACCAGGTGTTTGGAAGGGTCTCCACTTGGCTGTGTGGTGTGCTTTGATCTAGCAAGAGGGGAGGTCTTTTGCCCCGCCCCTTGGCATTGTTATAAAAAGCCCTTTTGAAGAGGCAGAAAGGGCTGTTGGGTTTTGATCCAGGTCCTCCCGAAGCTATCCTGTGTTTCTTTCTCCTCTTCGATATCTTTCTATCTAAAAGTTTCTTATCCCTCTCTCCTCCTCATAGGAACCCTTTAAAAGTTGGGAGCTGGCCTCCCACATATTTGTAACATTTCCACCGAGATCTGCAAAGATCTAGGAAAGGAAAGAAACAGCTGCATAGAAGACATTGGTCTTTCCAAAGTTAACAGAAAGTTTCAGACTGCCTATGAGGTTGGCATACTTGTTTCTGTAATGTGTGTATGTATGAATTAGATGTTAACAAGGTGTCATCCATCATTCATAGATAGTTGTTAGCAAGATGTCACAATCCATAGATTGTAAGATATCACCATTCATAGATAATGGTTAATAAGATGTTAGCTTTCAGAGATACCTGTTAACAAGGTGTCATGATTCATAGATAGATGTTAACAAGATTTCTCTGTTTATTGGTAAATGTTAACAAGAATGTCACCTAGGAGCTGGGCACTGGTGGCGCACACTTTTAATCCCAAGTGCTGGCACTTGGGAGGCAGAGGCAGGCAGATCTCTAAGTTCAAGTTCATCCTGGTCTACATAGCAAGTTCCAGGACAGCCAGGGCTACACAGAGAAAACCTGTCTTAGAAAAAATAATAATAATAATAATAAAAAGAATGTCACCTAGAGCCAGGTGTGATGGAAATCCTAGCACTTGGGAGGCAGAGGCAAGAGGATTTCTGTGAATTAGAGGCCAGCCTGGTCTATATAGCAACTTCCAGGCCAGCTGGGCTACATAGTTGAGACCCTGTCTCAAAAAACAAAAAATAGATGTTAATGTTAGTAATTCACAGATAGATGTTGTGTGATGATGATTAATTTCTGTTGTTGGTTTAATGAGCTCTAGAATCACCTGGCAGACTGACCTCTGGGCTTGCCTGTAGGGATTATCTTGATTAACTAAGGTAGGAAGACTCTCTCACTGAGAATAGTACATTCTGTGGGCTGAGATCTTGGACTTTATAAAGAGGAGAAGGTAAGCGGAGCACTAGTGTCCATCATGTCCTGCCTCCTGACTGATGTAGTGACCAGCCCCATTCCAGGGTCTGCCGTCTTTCATTCTCTGCCATAATAGACTGTAACCTGAACTGGAGTCAGAAAAACTTTCCCCATTCTGTTGCTTTTATCAAGCATTTAACATAGCAACAGGAAAGGTAACCAAGATGTTAACAAAAGTGGGAGCTGGGGAGGTG